GTTAGCTGCTTGAAGGAAAAATGAAGAGTTTGGGGACTTACGGTCAGTCGAAATAGGTGGAATAAGGGAAATCTGCGACCCGGTATCGACGAGGAAGTTACGGCAGGAACTCCTGTCATAGATGTAAAGCAGGCGATTAGTAGTGGATGGGCCGATCACGTTAGTCGCCTTCACTGGTCGGCAGGAAAGCTTTCTACACGAATGTGAGTTGCATGTGCAAGGAGATTTGCGATGGTGGGCGTGAGAACCATAATTGTGATGGTACTAACAGAAACCATCAGTTGTAGTTTCGCCTGGAGTGAGAGACCTCGGGTGTCCAGTACTCGAAAGACTACTTGTGTAGACGCGAGTGGCTCGAAGCTGGGCAATTTGAAAAGTGAGAGCGTCAATGCGTGGCACGACGTCTTGGATCGTAGAAGGGGGCGTGAATTGACTTGCGGAGGTGTGAACGTGACGTTAATGCCCGCATCAGCGCGACGTGTGTCATCGGTCAAAAGGTCACAAACTGGGGTCGTGTTCGGTCCCATATGATGCCAGAATAAATGTAGCCCTCTTATTGGTTAAACAACGATAACGCTGCATGCATGCATGCATTGGAAACCTTGACAAAATTGCGGTCAGTAAAAATGAGAGTTGCGAAACCGCATAAGAAAGCGCAATTAATAATCGGAGTCACCAATGTTAGGATACGATATAGTCTATCCAAGAACCTGAGATAGGACTATCCTAACTGTTGCGAACCAATAAATAAGAACAAAGTCGTTTGCAGATAAAATCACGTGCTTGTTCAATGTGTTATTTAAAGGTTTTGTGTTTAGTTTACGAAAGGCATATTTAACTAAGTAAAACAAAGGGACAGTTCAGTTTCACTACATACTGTTCCTAACAATCTGGGCTTTCCTCCGTGCTCCCCTCTAAGTAAACATGGCATGAAGCTCGTAGTTGCTAGGGCTTAACTCACTAAACCCTCTGCGATACACCTTATCTCCCCGGACTTCTTGACTCTTTGATGACAGCATGGCAAGATGGAGGAGGGGCGAGGCAGTGCGGTAGGTGCTGCGCAAGCCTATTACCACATCAAACTAATTCACGCGCGAATTACTGTCTCTGCATTCACCTTGCTGTGGGACAAACGGCGGATATCGGCGGAATGAAAGGAAGTGACGGGGACCTTCGCAACACCCGGCGTAGGCAGACCCCGGCACGTGTATTATGACCACAGTCCACGACCTGCTCTTCGCAGACGACTGTGTCCACAACACCACCGCAGAACAGAACACGCAAAGGAGCATGGACCTCTTCGTCACATTTGGTCTCAAAATCAACACGGACAAAACACTGGTCCTGCGCCAACCACCACTCAGTGCTGAAGGCAATGCTCCTAAGATAAATTTCAATGGTGCCCAATTCTAAGTTGTGGACATTTTCGCCTATCTCGAAAGCACGTTGTCTCGGAACATGAGGATCGATGACGACGTTGTTCAACGGATCTTCAAAGCCAACCAGACTAGTGGCCGGCTGCAAGCCTTTGTTTGGAATCACCACGGCCTACAAGTGGACACTACAAGGCCGTCCTCTTGAGGACACTCCTATATGGAGCGGAGACCTGGACCGTCTACGCCAACTAAGTTCGGAAGCCGAATCACTTTTATCTCAGCTGCCTCCGCAGAATGCTAAAGCCGAGGTGGCTGGACAGGATGCCGGATATGAAAGTCCTGGAGCGAACCGGAATTCTTAACAGTAAATATGTCATCTATATTGTGAAAATTAAATCCGAATTAAGCAAAAATGCTTCTTTAATATAGGGCAGAGTTGCTATGATGGGAACTTTGTGCCCGCTCAAAATATGCCAGCAGCACTTATCCAAGTACCCCTAAAGTACGTGTTGTGGAAATTTGCAAGTTTTCTTCAAAATATCTATCCTGCTGTGTAGCCAAATCTGCCAAATTTTCTGGTTATTCGTACCCGTATTCGGATTAACGTCATTTTCTTGGTGATTGACAGTTTCGTGAACGTACCCATAACTCGCCGATAAGCTGGCCATTTGTCAGAATGTTTTGTCGAACCTGCTTTTACTTCGCGTTCAGTTACAAAAATAAATGTCTCTGTATCTCGTTTGCGTATGCAAGCGTATGCGTTTGCAACTATCCCTCAAACTAAAGCTGTACAAGACCGTCGCCCTCACAACATTCTTGTATGAAGCGAGACTTGGACCATCTACGCCAACCACGCTCGGAAGCTGAATTACTTCAATCTCAACTGCCTCCGCTGAAGACTGAAGTTGAGATGACCAGGCAGGTTCCCGGAACCGGAATCTTCAGCATCCACACCATGCGGAGGCAAATGCAACTACGGTGGAGCGGCCACTTGGGGAGGATGGAAGATGAGCGATTACCCAAAACGCCTCGTCTAGAAAGATGTCGTTGCGGCTGCTCGCCGAAAAGGGGGAGAAAAGCAACACTACAAGGACACCCTGAAGAAGTCTCTGAAGCGACTCCAAGTCAACCCGACGACCTGGCAGGACCTCACCCAGACTTCGACCGGTCTGATGAAGAACGGTGAAGTCGGGCGCTACCATCTACGAAGCCAACCGGATCGTCGCTGGCAAGACAAAAGGATAGGCTTGGAAATCACAAGCGCCTCTGATCCCCAACACTAAAGCCCAAGTTCTTCCACCTTGTCCACGCTGCCAACGTACCTTCTGTACGCAAGTTGGTCTCGTCGGACACTTCCGGACACAATGTAATATCACCCCAACAGCATCAAGTTCTACAAGGACTAAACTCGTACAGGATCTCTGCTGTAAATCAAATTAATCCTACCATCGATGCTCAACCTTCGGATGCCCATCATCTATGCCGCAACCCCACATTGGCCACAGCGACGACCAACACTGAAGCCACTCCCCGCACTCCAATGACGCTCCGTCGACGCGCCACCTGCTACTTCCACAACTACTGCACCTTCTACCAGAAATGGGGACTCCAGTCTAACCTAGCCCCATTGCGATCGTACATTCGCCTCGCGCATCGGCCATTTGCGAGTCCGGCGGACAGATGCTGGCGAACAAATGACCGAAGTACCAACACACAGCAGAGACCACCGCCCCCCCACAACCCGCGTGTATTCACTCACCGCATGGATCTTCTCGTCATATGCGTATCCATAACAGTGGAATTCACCGCGAAGCCAACAGACCAAACACATCCTAAACACCCACTAACAATCCCATCCCCAATCCTCCAATCGGCGTGACAACTACCACCGACAACAACAACGGTGTACCGAGAAGTTTCCTGAGCACGAGAATCAGTCACGTGAGAAGGGCCGGGCGCAGCAACAACTTGGAGGACAGCGGGCATAATTGTCGCGCAGGTATCAAGCCCGCATCCGGCACGGACAAGGACATTGTGGTAATTAATGAGCCACCACCGCACCAATTAAGACCTCAAGCGGTGGCTACGGGAACTGACAATTATAGTACGCATGCGGATGACCGCTACGAACTATAAATAACGTGTAACCTGTGCATTCAGCACCCTCATCTGCGCATGTCTCAGACTTTTCTACGATTACCTCCGACTAAGGATTCCCGACGGAATCCGAAACGTAGGGACAATAAAACTCTTATTCCAGTGGTCACTTCTTCTTCTGAACTGCTTCCTGGAACTCGCATATTCAATTCGATTGGCAACAACAATAACTTTGTCGCCTCAGCATCTCCCAATCTATCCTGCCCTCACATGCACATCACACATCGGCCTGATCGGTCACTTGTCAATCCACTACACAGATACTTGTGAACCAGTGCCTTGAGTATCGACATACAATCGCTGTGCCCGTGTTAACAGTTTGCATTGACCTGCTAGGCCACATACATCTTCATGAAAGCCTGCGGTAGAACACCGCTGGCTACACCACATGTTCACACCTGCTCATCAGCATCGGCACCATACATGATAATTACCAGCATCAGGTGCCACGTGCTTGCAACCAGCAGCTGTCACATGAGTGGAAAAAGGTTCCTTAGCCATTTCTTGACGCGATCCTTCCGCCGCATGCGTACTCGGAGTGTGAGAATAGCAAGATTGACT